TTTTGGTTAGTCGAAATATCTGTTCAGTCAGAGCCCTAAGCACACAATGATTTCTCTGACAGATGGAAAGAGCCAAGGAAATGTCGAAACCGTCAAGCATATCCAATTAACAAATATATTATTGTGAGCCAAATCTACATTTTGGGTGTAGAATACATTACTGGATGCAGGGAATGTTATGACATTCTCTCTGGTTCTGCTAAACATACTGGAAATGTACATCAGATTCTACGTCACGAAAATAGGAGGGATCAATTTGTGCTATTCTTCTCTTTTTGATGGATAAAATGAGAGTTACAGAGGTTATGTGGATAACACTTGAAATGCATTGCCAAAACTTGATCAAATACATTGTTGATATTTGATTACTTGATCAAAAGCATTGTTAATACTTAATCAAATACATTGTTGATATTTGATTACTTGATCAAATACATTGTCAATACTTGATGAAATGCATTGTCTACGGTAATATAGATTCATTCTACTGAGCACATGTGTAATGAGAGCAAGTATTCCCAGACACAATGTATAACTCTTCATGTTGAATGCATACTATTCTTTACCCAGGCCTAACATGATTCGAGTCAAAACATTTTTGACTCGACTGCCAGAAGGAAATCAGTAAATCAGTAAATCAGTAAATCAAGAAATAACATTTAGCCGCCAAACGCTTAAGATTTGTTTTTTTTTTCAAATTATTTGAGTATCGGGTGCTTGATGCTCACCTAAGTTTATGACTTATTTTCATTCATCATTTCCAATTCTACCATGACTTCAGTAAATACAGGATTGAGACTGGTTAGTTAAAGTCATTCAGAGGTATACCTCTGATTTTCCAACACAAAATCTACTTTTTAATAATCTTAATAACGCGGTTATGGTTTTAAATCAAATTTAGAGCTATTATAATTTCGTTATACCTCTGATTTTCCAATACAGTATGTTTATCTCCTAAACAGTCGCCACTAGTTTGTATTTAAGGCCAGTTATGAAGGTGTCTCATGCGTTCCCCATCCATGTTTACAGTTGCTGGGCCGTTGTCGGGTTCGGAGGTGGCGTCAACGGCAGGAACGTCAAATGCTGTAGCAGGGTAGTGACCTCTACAACGTTGATACATATCACCGCGTGGGACCAGTCTTAGAATAGATCCACCGTTGTCACACAACCTCGCGTGGATCCAGTCTTAGAATAGATCCACCGTTGTTACACAACCTCGCGTGGATCAAGTCTTAGAATAGATCCACCGTTGTTACACAACCTCGCGTGGATCCGGTCTTAGAATAGATCCACCGTTGTTACACAACCTCGCGTGGATCCAGTCTTAGAATAGATCCACCGTTGTTACACAACCTCGCGTGGATCCAGTTTTAGAATAGATCCACCGTTGTTACACAACCTCGCGTGGATCCGGTCTTAGAATAGATCCACCGTTGTTACACAACCTCGCGTGGATCCGGTCTTAGAATAGGTCCAAGCATGAGCTTGAAAGCAACTTAAGTCGGTATCTTTATTCCATGAAAACAAGGGATATCACCGTTCATACATCTAACTGGGATAGGTTTTGATATCTCAAATATTGCAATCACGTTTAACTCTTACAAAATTTTGTTACATACTGAAAACTACACAACGATTACTTTCTCTCTGACCAGTAAGCTTCAAGGCGCTGAAGCGGAAATTCACATATATACATAGGTTTAATACTCAGGTTCCGAGCATTACTGCATAAATATCATACAAGAAGGCAAGATTTGATTGAAGTTTTTGAATCATTGATCTTAGGAAATTATACCGGACCAAATGGTTGTCCTGTTTTCTCCCGCCTGTATGAATGTTCCAAGTAATTGTGTTGAAGATATTCCAAAGAATGACAAAATACGTGACGTATAACCGCAAAATCAGAGTAATTTGTTACATTAAATAAAATGCCGTTGTTTTGAGTGAGTTGATAACTCACAATGAATACTTATTGCTTCACACCACCTCAGCAATATCCAGCTATTGGCGTCGTGACGTTTTGATAAACGCTATTAGAGTTATGTTATATCCGAATTACCTGTGTACATCTCTGTATACTTCCAGAGCGTCTGCACTCACGAGCTGGGGCATGCTCTGGGATTCCCTCACGAACACACCAGCTACAAGCGAGTAGGATACGTCCGTATGAATTTCCAAAACATGGACTATTGTGAGTAATATAAGAATTACGATGTTACTGTAAGTTAGAATTCTCGTCCAGATGGCTTGTTGGTGAACTTTATATATCGGGCAACAAGATTTCACCAACTGATGCTGGGTATATTTTATACAATCTGCTGCTGTGGAGGACCGGTGAAAGAATAATCAGAATTGATGACGTAATATTTCGGGATATACTGTGATGCTGGACAGGACGAAAGAAACTAGTGGATCACATTCTTGTATGGCAGCCGTCTTCTCCCAGGCGAGTCAGGGAGGAGAGGCAGTATGGGAGTGTGTCAGCCTGAGATGGCTACTGGTATTTACTTCATGAGTGTGGAGTGGACGCTGAGGTCCGAGTTCGAATCCAACCAATGACCACATATCACAATGTAGTTATACATGCTGCAGTTGCGTTAGATCCTGTACTCAGCCTACCAACAATGTCTGCCACTCATCGGTGACATCTGGATGCCTATCTGTACACTTGTCATTCCACACATCAGTGACATCTGGATGCCTATCTGTACACCTGTCATTCCACTCATCAGGGACATCTGGATGCCTATCTGTACACCTGTCATTCCACACACCAGTGACATCTGGATGCCTATCTGTACACTTGTCATTCCACTCATCAGTGACATCTGGATGCCTATCTGTACAGCTGTCATTCCACTCATCGGTGACATCTGGATGCCTATCTGTACACCTGTCATTCCACTCATCAGTGACATCTTGATGCCTATCTGTACACTTGTCATTCCATGTGTGCTGAACCTCCGGTTTTGTGTTTTCGCAGCAAACTGGGAAACATACATCAGAAGGAGTCCATCCACGTATGTAGACCTGAGATTTGACATGACCAGCAACATGCATTACAGCCCCACAGTAAGTGTGTACTACGTTACTCCTTTTTGCCTTTAAAAAAATACAGAGCCAGTCAGAAACTTCAGTTGCGTAAGAAATGTATCTTGTTAGGTGCTAGATTGTTCGTGTGAGATTTTCATTCGTTTTTCGTTTTTGAATCCGTATCCACGATATCGAAGACAACCGAGCACCATTCACTGCGGCTCTTGTGTATGGCCGCTGTGGCGGTACAGTGGTTAATGTGATCGCAAACCGAAACATGAGTCTCATTAACCTGTTCAGGCAATGACCTATTTTTCAGCCGATCCGAATTTTCTCGTGTGAAAGTGAAAATAGACATCACAAACAACTATGGTTACACTGAAATTCCAATTCCTTGTTTCATAAGAAACTTTAATAACATCGTATTTCTATATTTTATGGGGAGGTGTAGGCAGCATGACCTTATGTCCGTACCAGACAGCCCAACGTTTCTAGCGGCAGAGCCTCGTTTTGAGATTTCCACGATTTCCAGGTTTCTGTTTGTCAGTGCTCGCTGTACGACAGAGCACGCTGCACGACATGTTTGCAAGGATTATAAGGGGCGTAGTGTTGCAATATACAAGTGCTTAGATGAATCAAATAATACTTATTAATATTTATGTATCCAGTCAAATGAATTGGTCTCAAAATTCTGGACTGGTTATAGTACTAAGTTGCGCAATAGGATGGAACCCAGTCAACAGGAAACGAGACTGTTGTGTAATCAATGTTTTGACTTGCTCGACACACCGAGGGCACCGATTCGATAACCCAGATATGTACAATGTGTGAAGCCCATTTCATGTGTCGACCGTCAGCACGTTGCTGGAATATTACTGACAGTGACGTTAGTCTACAGCCACTCACTTACTGTCACTGATGTACATGTACTAGGAGCTCGAATTCAGACAGTTTGTACATTTATGGTAAAAAAAAAATTATTTGATCCTTTCAGAGTGCAGCTAGAAATGGCTGGTACGGCATGACCTCGCTGTTCCGAGACCTTCAACCTATGCTCAAGAACGGGGGCAACGTGTACTACTACTGGCACGCCCTCGCCCACGCCTACAGCTGCACGGGTACGTCCTTACTTGACCTCGGGGAGTGCGGGTTAGGATAGGCCTAGGTGGGTACTGCACGGGTACGTCCTTAATTGACCCCGGGGAGTGAGGGTTAGGATAGGCCTAGATGGGTACTGCACGGGTACGTCCTTACTTGACCCCGGGGAGTGCGGGTTAGGATAGGCCTAGGTGGGTACTGCACGGGTACGTCCTTACTTGACCCCGGGGAGTGAGGGTTAGGATAGGCCTAGGTGGGTACTGCACGGGTACGTCCTTACTTGACCCCGGGGAGTGCGGGTTAGGATAAGCCTAGGTGGGTACTGCACGGGTACGTCCTTACTTGACCCCGGGGAGTGCGGGTTAGGATAGGCCTAGATGGGTACTGCACGGGTACGTCCTTACTTGACCCCGGGGAGTGCGGGTTAGGATAGGCCTAGGTGGGTACTGCACGGGTACGTCCTTACTTGACCCCGGGGAGTGAGGGTTAGGATAGGCCTAGGTGGGTACTGCACGGGTACGCCCTTACTTGACGTCGGGGAGCGCGGGTAAGGATAGGCCTAGGTGGGCTACTGCACCAACACGTCCTTACTTGACGTAGTGCGGATCACCCGTTTTCATTTATTCTCCTAATTTCTATGGTTATCATTACAACTACTTTTGTTCAATATGTGTGCCTCTTTAATTTCATCCAAAGCAACATTTAGATTTAAGGCAAGTATATGGATGACATCTTCTTGTTAGTGTTATACAATAATAAGAAGCTGTCATCTATACACTTATGGATATATTCATCAACTTCTAAATGCCTCTTAAGAATCTCAACATTTAGATGTCTAGTGTACTTTGTTCTGTTCGTGTTCTATTTAGAAGAGAGGTGTCCGAATGGGGCGCCTGTGGCGTGCGTCAACGACGGCTTCGTCTCCTACATCGACGACAGCGCCTGCGCATGTATCTGCCCACCTGGCCTGGATCCTGCCAAAGGCTGCTCTGACGTCATAAAACAGGGTGAGTTGGGAATGAAGGGCAGCTGTGACGCCATACGACAGACGAGTAGGTAATTAATGGCTGTTCTGTCGTCGTAAGGCAGATAATTAGGGAGTGAAGGGCAGCTGTGACGTCATACGACAGGTGAGAAGGGAATAAATGGCTGTTGTATTGGAATCAATGCTTGAAGGTAACACAAAGCCAAATAGTTTCCAACTGACTTCTATGTTAACGATATATTTGGTATTTGTTTTTAATTAACTAAGCCATAAACAGCTATTGCATACACGTGTGCGCATAGTTTGGCCTTAAGGAAGCAATAAACATATAACAATGACCACCTCAGCCAGTTCCCGTACAGGAAGCCACACAGACCAACCGTACCAATCGCTTGAAAATAGCTGTGGTCACGTTCAGCATAAGTCATCATGGAAAAGGACTACAACACTAAATATTCAAAAAATATGGTCTGTTTTACTTACTGGATGAATGTACATTTGAAAAACACAAAACTTACACATTTTACACATTTTTGCCTTCGTGTCATGTTTTACACCTGTAATAGCTCTGAACAAATATAATCTGAGGCCAGATATTTAAGATTTCGTTATTATTCCGTGCTGAGTTGCAGTTAAATGTTACACGGGTGTGTAAGTGGGTGTGGGTGTGAAGGGGGATCTGGGAACTTCAAGACATTCCAGTCCAAGATTGTCATAATACTGTACGTGTCCTCTGCAGTGCCCGCCCCCACCAAATGGCCCGGGGGGACATACGCCCTGCCGTCCCCTACTGACGGGTGCCCCGGGGACGTGTTCCTGGAGGGGTCTGTACAACACACCAGTGACGGGCGCAGCACACAGAGCGACATCGTGCACGTGAAGGGGGAGTTCACAGCCAGCAGCTTCAAGTACCACTTTTGTGTGAAGGACAGTTCCACCAGCACTGACGCTGACACAGCTGAATGGGGACCAGGCAGATACTGTATACTGAAGAAAGGAGACTGTCCTACTGGTAAGTGTATAGCCAGGCAGATACTGTATACTGAAGAATAGAGACTGTCCTACTGGTAAGTTTATAGCCAGGCAGATAATGTATACTGAAGAAAGGAGACTGTCCTCCTGGTACGTTTTTAGCCAGACAGATACTGTATACTGAAGAAAGGAGACTGTCCTACTGGTAAGTGTATAGCCAGGCAGATACTGTATACTGAAGAAAGGAGACTGTCCTACTGGTAAGTGTATAGCCAGAGAGATACTGTATGCTGAAGAAAGGAGACTGTCCTGATGGTAATATTCTTATAACGTTGTTAATATGGCGTTAGTCTGCCCTAGTCAAACTGACATGACATCACACATACACTAGATAGAAATAAGAAAGACTCGAGTGATACCTAACTGTTTTCGAGTAGTATTTCCAGATTGATCTATTTACCTTGGATACCTGGTACATTCTACAAGTTATAACAAGGTGATACTGGGTTCATCAACAGGTGTGTCATCATGTCGGAGATTCCACCAAGTGGTATACGTACATATATCACTGTCTGGCTCACCCAGACACAGATAGTTTATCTACTCGACAAGAAAGTTATTCAACAATGATACCAGTTCACATTCCCTCTTTCAGGTTTTGAAAGTGGATACGTCAAGTATGACAACCTTGCCGAGACCACCACAACTACATCTGGATCTGTGCCCGACGGTGTCTATGATGCAGACACTCAGTTTGATTTTTGTTGCCGTGATGACGGTTACCCCAAAGAACCTCTCAACCTCCCCAACACTAAACCACTTATCTTGTTCCGTCACAATGGAAAATCTGATGCCTGTCAAACAGTTGATGGTAAGAATGACTATGAGTTTCAAACTAAAATCATCGCAAACAAATATGCTAAAAATGTTGAGTTATTAATTTATTAAACCTTCAATACAAATGGTGTATTGTTGATTGAACGAAGTGACATTTTAGGTAACTGATGTGGGGCATAAACCTAACCGTTTATACACTTTTATGTCTTTACACAACATTTTCTAACGACTCTACGAAAATGCCATAACAACGAAATTAAAAGCAGAATGTTCCTGCAATGTGTGACCATCACGTGCCGTGTGTGTAAACGTTCAACGGTTGACGCATGTACAAGTAGAAATATGGCGCGACAGAATGCTGCCAATCGCAACATCGTCATGGGACGTCGTGAAGCTGGGGCCTCTCAGCCTTCAGTTTGTGTCCATCTACGGAGACGTTTACATCGGCGACAACGTATGCGACGGAGTAGCAGCAAACACACATGGACTTTGAAGCATTAGTGGTTCAGTGATGACTCACAACTCCTTCTTAAAACGCAGAAATAGAAGACAGCATGTCTTCACACGTTGAAGTGAACGTTTGGCAGCGATCTGCGTTCGACAGGTCGACAAATTTGGTGGCGAAAGTGTACTGATGCGGGGTATTTCATAGGAATCTCACAGCAAATATGTAGATCGTCCAATTGCTTGAACATCCCACCCTTTCACCGGCAAAGGTAGATGTTTAAACATGACGTCACTGTTGACTTCCATGATTCTTCAAGGCTTTGCAGATCCCGGGATCCGACCCCAGCAGAGCATCTATGGCACTCACTCGTTAGACGTGTACGTCAACGTACGTCCAGCAGAGTATGTATGGCACTCACTCGTTAGACGTGTACGTCAACGTACGTCCAGCAGAGTATGTATGGCACTCACTCGTTAGACGTGTACGTCAACGTACGTCCAGCAGAGTATGTATGGCATGAACTCGTTAGACGTGTACGTCAACGTACGTCCAGCAGAGTATGTATGGCACTCACTCGTTAGACGTGTACGTCAACGTACGTCCAGCAGAGTATGTATGGCACTCACTCGTTTGACGTGTACGTCAACGTACGTCCAGCAGAGTATGTATGGCATGAACTCGTTTGACGTGTACGTCAACGTACGTCCAGCAGAGTATGTATGGCATGAACTCGTTAGACGTATGCGTCAACGTCAACGTCAACATACTCCGCACAACTGGAAAACTTGTTGCAGGACAAATAGAGGCCAATGCCAAGGAGTAGAATCCTCAGAATCTGTGCCAAGGTGCTGTTAATGCACTACTGTAAACTATATGGGTTACTGAAATGAGGAGTTTCTATTGGTGGTGAAATCTGCACACTTGGTAAACATTGGGGGAGGACGATCGTGTCTGGTACGTGTCTGATATTGGCAGTGTCTGTGATTCGCGATGCTGTTTGGTCAACTGAGGGCACATGATGTCTTCATGTTATTCTGGAACTCCTTCAGTGGTCTAACGACATTGCTTCTTCCCGTAGGGATGTTGGCGTATCCTGAATTCCTGACCTTTGACGAGGACAATGAAGGCCAGTCCGCCTACAGCCCCAGTTTACTGGCAAAGAAATTCATTTACTGCTACTATGTTCCTGCCAACACAGGTTCGTAACGTTATTTAATTCGATTATGACGAAATTGTACTAATGTGTACTTAATTGGTTATTTGTTACTCTGTATCGCTGTTTCGTATCCCGTAAGGAGCGCTACCTTTTAACTAACCCACCAATGTTTTCTCCACTATCCTACAGACTGTGGAGGCCTGTATACGTTGACCAAAGACAACCCCACACAGACAATAACATCCCCTGGCTATCCCAGTCTGTACCCCAACAACGCTGACTGTTTCTGGATATTTACGGTAAGATCACAAACTGCCACCGGCATATAAATGAAATACTGTTCAAGGCGGACTCACTCACTCAATTATTCACTTCATCTTGTAATATTACAAAGTAACAAAGGGGGACTAAATAGGGCACGATTCTATTTCACCGTCCGATATTTAATCAGTCCATTTCACTTTAGTACAACGCTTCAGACTTGAGCATGGGTTCGACTCCCAGTTCGCCCGATTGTTCATCAGTTCGTTTTTCTTTGTTGGTTTCAATGAAGCAATAAACGTCTCCCATCTTCATCACTTCCGGGTTTCCTCGTGAAACAAGCTCATCTCTTTGATCTAACCGTGTAAATGTGTCTGTATTGGACAGTACGGGCTCCTGGGATGGTGTTCAGTATTCTTTAAACTAGGTGTAGTGGCATCAGACGAGAATGTAGCTGACGACGAACAAATGATGTCTTTAAACAGGCACCTGAGGACTCAACTATCCTGTTGGACTTTGATGACTTCGACATCGCCACTTCAGGGTCAGGAAGTGAAGATGAACTCCGTGTGAGATCTGTTCTGCTGGGCGAGAACCCTTCACGTACGTTATACATGCAACAGTGATGTAGGAAGACATATATCTTGTTCCCAACTGTATCCTCCTACAGATACTGTGATGTACCGTACATACTGTAAAGAAATATATGTACCATGTCACCTCTGTTCCCAACTACACACTCCCTCCCATACAGATAATGTGATGTACCGTACATACTGTAAAGGAATATATGTACCTTGTCACCTCTGTTCCCATCTACATCCTCCCTCTCCTACAGATACTGTGGGGACTCCCAACACCGCAGTATTCGGACTGTACGAAACACTCTGTCTCTCAACCTCCGGACCAACCTCGAGGGGCAGAGGAAGGGCTTCAAGGCCAAGGTCAGCCTGGTCGCACGTACGTCTCTATATCTGTTTGTTTCTTATTTTGTCAGAGCAACCTGTAAATAATGGAGTTGTTATCCAGTGTTCGATATCGTCATCAGCGACGGTGTCCGATGACACACAACCATTTAACCCAGATGGATAACCGATGGGGCGAATCACCGCTCGTGTCTAGGTTGTTAGTCGTTCTGTGCGTTGTTTAATGATGCTGTTTCTTTAATCAGTAACGACGTCAACCGGAACACCAAATTTGGAAGAAAACATTAACAAATCAAGATGGCAATAGGTAATAGATCGAGTCTGTATTGTTCCTCAACGCACAGGGACAATAACTCTAAACTACACCAAACAGAGTCCTGAATCTTTTACGTCCACTGCAATCATTTGTTGCCACTGGCAGTCTCAACAACTACATTTACAACCGTCTCTACTACCACGTAACCTCACAACCATAGTCAAAAATAGCCTAGACAGTTTCCAAAACACTTTCAAACATAAAGACCAGGGTTGGGCACGTCTTATTATCTCACATGAGTATCCTTCTGTGCCTTCTTCAGCCGAGAACCACTGCTACAAGATGGCCGACAAGGGCGTCACGTACAACGGTAAAGTCTCGTTCACGCGAGATCGCAAGACGTGTCTTCCTTGGAGTGAGACCACCTCGTGCCCACATCACCTGTTTAATCCAAGGTAAACCTGTACAGGGCATTCAATATAGATAACCTCTCCACAGGGGCTAGTGTCTGGAGCTTTCTCTACTCAGGTCTGGCTTTGATTCCCACATGGATACAATGTGTGCTGAATGCGCTTCTCTTATGCTGATGACCCCATTCAACACGCCCGGTAGGGTGGAATTTACATAAACACTAATCTGTAGTTTTGGTGCTATGTTCAGTAGTAGTAGTAGTAGTAGTAGCAGCAGCAGTAGTAGTAGATAGTAGTAGTAGTAGTAGTAGTAGTAGTAGTAGTAGTAGTAGTAGTAGTAGTAGTAGTAGAAGTAGTAGTAGTAGTAGTAGTAGTATTGTAATTGGCGTTGTCATCTTCATTTTATTATTCCTCACCATTATCAGTGACTTTGATGCCAACTTGGAGAAAAACTATTGCCGTAACCCTGACAACACATTCCGGCCGTGGTGCTACACGGGGGTCTACGAGGGCCAGTGCGACAGGGACTACTGTGATGTATGTCAGCTGGGTGAGTGTCTACACGGGGATATACGAGCGCCAGTGTGACAGGGACTACTGTGATGTATGTTAGCTGGGTCAGTGTCTACACGGGGATATACGAGCGCCAGTGCGACAGAGACTACTGTGATGTATGTCAGCTGGGTGAGTGTCTACACGGGGGTCTACGAGGGTCAGAGTGACAGGGACTACTGTGATGTGTGTCAGCTGGGTGAGTGTCTACACGGGGGTCTACGAGGGTCAGAGTGACAGGGACTACTGTGATGTATGTCAGCTGGGTGAGTGTCTACACGGGGGCCTACGAGGGCCAGTGCGACAGAGACTACTGTGATGTATGTCAGCTTGGTGAGTGTCTACACGGGGGTCTACGAGGGCCAGTGTGACAGGGACTACTGTGATGTATGTCAGCTGGATGAGTGTCTACACGGGGGTCTACGAGGGCCAGTGTGACAGGGACTACTGTGATGTATGTCATCTGGGTGAGCGTCCAGTGGCAGGAGACTAGAAATATGTGGGTTGTTCAGAAACACATTCCAGACCTGCGATCTGAGAAACAATAAAAGAAACCTTATTATCAGAAGGGACCATCAGTCTTGTACCATGTCTAAAGTTCAGAATCTCCATCAACTAAATGTGAGGTAATCTTGTAAGATTTTCATCTGCATGTGTAGAGAGCAAGTTCGACAACTTCCCCGACTGTGAGGAACTGGAGAAGGAAGGCTTCTGTGAGGGGGATCTGGCGGAGGCCAGGGCTGGGTGTGCCAGAACGTGTGACACGCCTAGTGTACCTGTCACCCCAGGTAATGTTACCTGTACACATAGAATACTTTAATGACGGTTACCTGTATATTCGACACATCTGACCCACGTCATTGACGTTTACCTGTACATGCAGCACACCTGACCCACGTCATTGACGTTTACCTGTACATGCAGCACATCTGACCCACTTCATTGACGTTTACCTGTACATGCAGCACACCTGACCCACTTCATTGACGTTTACCTGTATATGCAGCACACCTGACCCACGTCATTGACGTTTACCTGTATATGCAACGCACATGACCCACTTCATTGACGTTTACCTGTATATGCAACGCACCTGACCCACTTCATTGACGTTTACCTGTATATGCAACGCACCTGACCCACTTCATTGACGTTTACCTGTATATGCAACGCACCTGACCCACTTCATTGACGTTTACCTGTATATGCAACGCACATGACACATTTCATTGACGTTTACCTGTATATGCAACGCACCTGACCCGCAGGTCAGGTATTATTGCCAATATTCTCTCAACTCTTGCCTCCTAAATTGTATGAGCAAAGTAAGTTTCAAACCTTATCACGTTGGTATTTGAAGAGTTTTCGTTTGCAAACATTTTAAAAAGTATTTCAGTCAGAGCAAAGCCTTAAGAGACCAATGCCATCCCTTTGCATGCCAATTAAAGTGACTCTGCCACCACTCTCTCACTCACCCACGCATTCAGTCAGTTGAAATATTTACATTATAGAGTATCTCCCCATTTGAACATTGACAGTAACGACGTGTTCGGCACCCGACGATGTTACTGATGCTGACCCCGTGACGACGCTGAGTTCCAGCTACGACGTCGGGGACACCGTGGAGTTCCGTTGTAAATCTGGTAGTGACACCCTCACCAGGACGTGTTTGACCGACGGGACCTGGTCACCTGGAGGATATGTATGCGGAAGTAAGTAGGACTGTGTGACATGCAACTATCTCAGGTGTTCGAGAAGCACGTTCACAGACAAAATTATTTATTCATTAACCTGTGCCGTGCCGTCTCCATCCGTTCTCGAACACCTGGCTGTCCCTTTCTCTGCACTCCTCCCTCGAAACAAATAGTGAACTGTGTCAATATTTTAATGATAGTTTGTTAAACAACCTTTTTATTTTTAGGACAAAAAAATCTGCAAAAACCTCACAGAGTGGGTATGATGTTTTGATTATGATCAGCGTTTCATTGAGTATTTTATGTTTATTAGTTTTCGAGTTAGATTGCAATTCATCGGTCCGCTTTTGAGCCAGAAGGACTATAGACAATACATACTGGTTCTGGCATCTATCCAAAGGTTCCATGACAATTCATCAGCGAGCAGCTGGTTAAAATTAAAGGTCAGCCATCAAATATTGTGTCGTGACAGACAGACCGACATCCCGATCACATAGCTTGAATATTGGTTTTACATAAAAAATGTGGAAAATCTAAGCTGATAGTCAACAAACTCCTATAAACTTGTACCTCATCATGGATGACATTCAATGAATCATTAACTATCCAGGTTGCCCTAGTGGCTGGTCTGCTTACAACGGCAACTGTTACTTGTACGTCAACGTGGGGCAGAACTACGCTGATGCCAGTTCCCACTGTCAGGCGCTGGGAGCTATAGTCTCACCCACCAAGGACATGGAAGAACTAGAATTTGTAACATCTTTACGGTAAGAACTAACTTTTGGATGTGATGGTAGTTCGTTGGACATTTGTCTTTCCTTTAGGACTTAACAAATCGGCTATGATGTCTTACAATCATGATTTGCTGCACGTGCGACACTGCCGGCCTGTTCGCGACATACAGGCAGTCTCACGACGGTCTCCTGGCTATCTGAGCTCCGTGTCCAGTCGATCTGGTCGTCATCTCTTAGCAATGTGGTCGCGATCTACAGGCAGTCAAGTCACCGTCTACCTGCGACCTGGGCGCTGTGTCCTGGCTATCTGTTTGAAATACAACGTCATGAAATACTATATTTACCTGAAAATAATCTGCCGGAAAATCATTAGGGTTTTGAAGAACGGTACTAAAATGTAATCCATAATCTGTACCTTGTCCAATAACATGCCCGCCACGCATTCAAATATCACCTTTAGCTGGCCCTTCTGTGATGTCAACATGCTTCTAGATAAGAAAAGAGGACTGTCCTTTACATGACAGACGTATGTAATCACAGCCATTAAAACACTAGCCGAACTTCAATCTGAAACATACTGACCAGCAAAAAGAAACACAATTCAAGAAATCAAAACAATTGTGTTAAAGTATCAAATCCAAACTCATGCTGAAAAGTATAATTTTCATAAATTGTGAGTTGCGTTTTATTGCTGGTCAGTATACGTGTACTTCCGTAGTCACCGGTTATGGTTTTCTGTGCATTAATATCAACAAGTGATAAACACTGTTTTGACATATATTACAGGCATGCATTTGTGTTTGCAGGGAAACCTTTACAATATTTGATCGGGGGTACAGACATCGACACAGAAGGACGTTCACGTGGTCTGATGGTACCCCTTTACCTGGACAAACTGGGAGAACGGTATGTCAATCAGTGCTGTGCTATAAAAGTTTTATTTTGAATGTACTGAATATATATAATTTATGTTCAAAGTTATCGAGCTGTAAGGAGATTGCAGCATATCATATGTAAAGTGTGCATATCTAAAACATATGAATTACGCCTAAATGTTGAAAATAATCATATAAACAATCATATATAATACGGATATAAATAACGATATAGTGTTCCAAAACCATTTTCCATGTGTATAAAACATAAAATAAAAAACCCCAACTTTTCTTGGTTAATAATTTAGTTAGAACATTGCAGGCACATGAATATGATACATCTATTAGTGCCATTTTCCCCGCCACGCTCTGATAACACGGGGGCGGTGGGTAGTCTAGTGGCTCGTCACGCCGAAGACCCGGGTTCGAATCCCACATGGGTACAATGAGTGAAGCCCAGTTCTGGTGTCCCCGCCGTGATATTGCTGGAATATTGCTAAAAGCGGCGTAAAAACTAAACTCAGTCAGTCAGTCTGATAACACGGAAGTACTACTGACGTCTCACCCACCCGCTTATATCCGTTCAGATACACCCAGCAACAGCGGAAGCCGAGACTGTATACACTCCTCACACAAGCCAAGTAATCAGTGGAAATCCCTGTCCTGTTCAGCTGTGCGTCCGTTTGTCTGTAGAAGAACAAAGAGTGACAGTGAGTACACATCACCTTGTCGTATCCTTGTTGAAATCATGTGTAGACGGAACAAGCTAGACATTGTAGACTATATGTGTGATACAGAGGCATGTAAGATGAACTTAAGTAGTACTCTCAATGAAACCACACCTTCTCTGTTGTCACGTTAATAAGTTTACCGTGACAAAAGGTTAAGAGTCCCTTTTGAACCTAAAATATTCAATAATATTTTGAACAGACAATGACCAAACTACAATGAATGAGAATGCAGATTTCTAGTACGATGCAATTGAGTCACAAATCTAAAATATTAGGTCACAAATATAAGATATTAAATCATCAGAGTCTTGACATTTTACAGTGAGAACAGATATACCGATTAAAGGTTGTTTACAATGAGAGTAGTTGAATAGACGAACACGGTCAGTCAGCTTGATGATGGCAGACAGATTTGTATAGATCCAGTCATGTGAAAAGTCCCGTGTCGCACAACATAACAACCAGCCTTTATATAGCTATTACACAGTTCTCGAGCATTCTGGCAAAGCTAGGCTGTATCATTACCATCTCAGAACGTTACGGAAAACCACCGAACACACAGCATGATGTAAACAAGTTGCCAAGGGATGCAACTCTGAAGCTATATCAAAAGGTGTGCCGCTACAAATACTATTGCCATATATGATGCAAGATGCGAGCCAAACCCACACTCAAAACTTTAAACATTGTGACCCATAGTAACCATCACTTAGTCAATGTTTTATTACAAATTATAAAAAAGCACTCTCATGACACTGTGAAGACATTTGTCAATGCATTTCAATCATTTGTTCGCAGATTGTGGCTTATAATAATATCACATGCAGGTTTCAGTCGTGTTGTGATGTTCAAGAGTACTATATTAGTATATACAACAATAACACACAAAATATAGGTTAATTAATTTTATACATGTATTCGTTGTTGCATAAATATATAATAGAGTAATTAGTATTAATGATATATCCAACCTACAACCCAAGTCAGATTCAGTTATATATACTAACCCTGATTGCTGCCACCTTTGAAGCGACATTTCTCGTTATTTGTGTAAGAAAAGATGATATATCAATTGTCCTTGCTTGAGGAGACTGGAAGTAGAATCTTCGCAGCAATATGTGTGTCGCACTTCCGTCAATCAGTCCTGTTCATGTCATAACGTCTTAAGTTGTTTACCAGCTGAGTCGTTGTTAATTTCAGGTCGCTTCACTCTGTGTGGACCGGACACAGGGCTGTGAGGAAATCCTTAAAGCATCACCTAAAGCCTGTGTGGATTACAAACAGTTTGCAGAAGAGCAGTGTCCTCTGACGTGTGGGTTTGTGAAGAAAGCGGCACGCCATGTACGTGTTCTTTACGTCTAAGACAGTCCACATGTTGAAGTGTATTGCAGTAGAGTTCTGTCTTTGTTGCTAAGTGTTGATCCAGCATCCGTGCTGCCACCATCTGACAATGTTTCTAATGTCGTGCACAACGGTGACGTCCCTAGATGTTAGGCCACATTCTAATGTCAAGCGTGACACTTCACTACCCTACACTGTCAAGGTTAATTTTCTTTGAAACTACTTATCAACGTCAGTTACATCGCCAGGAATAGGTTATTTATGCTGCCCACCACCCACACGGTAGAACAGTTATCGTCACTATACTCGCTCTTCCAGCAAGCACCTGCCGATCACCCACCAACACGGTAGAACAGTTATCGTCACTATACTCACTCTTCCAGCAAGCACCTGCCCATCACCCACCAACACGGTAGAACAGTTATCGTCACTATACTCACTCTTCCAGCAAGCACCTGTCTGGTAGCCGCAGCCACGTCCAACGTGATACTGGAGGGGACAACTGACCAGGTGTCACGTGGTCAGGTGGTCAAGTACAGGTGTAAGGACGACCATGTACGACAGAGTGGTCATGAAGACAGGGTGTGTCTGGCTAGTGGCCAGCTAAGTTGGGATGACCTTGTTTGTGAAGGTACGTCAACAGGTGACAGAGATGAAGACATGAAAGGTGTTGAGGATAGGAACTACTTGATTGTTTGAAGGGACGGTTTTGTCCTTTGCCTGCAGATTCACCTGAATGATTGTGACATGGCCAGATGAAGGAAAACGTAGTCATATAGCATCCTCACAAACAATAAATAGGTTTAGCCGGAAACAGTTTCTGGTCAGTATATTTTATAGAACTTTGAACCCGTTATATTGTACAATGTTCAATGTCAGAGCATATAACATACTTTTACAAAACCGCAGAGAACCGTTATAATGTACAATGTTCAGTATCAGAGCATATAGCATGCTTTTACACAACCACAGAGAGCCGTTATAATGTACAATGTTCAATGTCAGGCATTATAGCATACTTTACACAACCACAGAGAGCCGTTATAATGTACAATGTTCAATGTCAGAGCATGTAGCATACTTTACACAACCACAGAGAACTGTTATAATGTACAATGTTCAATGTCAGAGCATGTAGCATACTTTTACACAACCACAGAGAACTGTTATAATGTACAATGTTCAATGTCCAGAGCATGTAGCATGCTTTTTACACAACCACAGAGAACCGTTATAATGTACAATGTTCAATGTCAGAGCATGTAAAGCATACTTTACACAACCACAGAGAACTGTTATAATGTACAATGTTAGAGCATATCACAAATTTTCTAAATTTTCGTGTTTCAAAGCATGTTGTTGGTGTTACGAACTTCTTTTACCGCCATTACATTGAACTTGCAGCTGTTGCAGCGTCAGTAACTCCCAGCAACAGCGTGGACCTCGTCGCCCGGTTTAAATACGGTGATAGGAACCGGGCGTACCTCGGCGACAATGACCTCATATGGATCACCAGAGACGGCGATATCACCCACTGGCAATATTATGCGACAACAGCAGGAATGGCAATGTTCCAGGTGTGGCGTCCGAGAAGCGACGCTGGAGAAAGAATGTAAGTCACCAGTTAAATAGGTTTCCATTGATCCCGTGTCTCTCAGCTGAGATTAACAATTGCATCGCACTCCAGTTTTTCCGTTTCCATATTGCGACAGCCGCTCGGGCAACGGATTCGGAATCGAACGCCTATTTGTGCAACGGAGCCCATCACTGAAACTTATTCTGTTCGTTTTAGTTGTTACAACTTTGATCGCAGATACGCTACCCCACAAGCAGTCAAGCTTTGAAACTACACATTTGAATTTTTCAAAATATTTTATTTGTTGCTGTTTGAAAATACCATTAAATACCGAATTTATTGAACAACAACAATTGCCCTTTAAACCTGAACTCGGGACAATATCATTACTGCAGTTTTTTAATTCTTGGATTTCGGACGGCTGAGTGGTTTAATTGCTCGCTTGTCACGTTCTTTATCCCAAGTAAGTAAAATGTGCCAGAAACCAAGCCCATTCCTTTTAACCTCAGACACGATATAAATATTTCATTTCTGACAAAGAAAGGCGTCTCTGACAAAACATGAACTTGATATGGTATATATGCTATAATGTACTCTGTACTTCTTGTGTGTAGGTTTGAGTTCATTGGTCAGAATCTACTGGACACTGAAAAACTGGACGTATTGAGGTCTTGGAGTTCCTGTCAACGATCGTATTCCTGCTCAAGCCGGAGACGTGATCGGCATCTACTACTTTGACCCCCTCATAGGTATTACCTTCACGATTTGCGATAAAGAATTGACCCCCAGGGAGCCAAGATGTCCTGGATCAACAAGAGAATCACAGATATGAACTACTTCATCCCTGGCAGCTCTTATCAGCAGGCAGACCAAGACAAGTGTTACATTATGTCCTTCAGAGCCATTAATGGTCCTGTAAGTATTCTTTGATTGGAGCGGCAGTGACCTCTATATGTCTGTAGATACAGCTCCAGCTGAACGAATGTAATAGTGTGATACATGGTGCAACCAGTGGGATTAGATGAAATAGTCACAATGAAATAATTATAGTAATGAAATATTCCAAGGTACAATTTCATCGTTGTTTGGAGTGAGATTCAATGTGCCAATTCTCACAGTATGGCTAGGGGTTTGGGGTTAGATCCAAGGTGCCAATTCTGCCATCATTTTGAGAGCTTAGATCCAATGTGCTTGCTCTGTCAATGTTTGGGTGAGATCCAAACTAACCCTAATATCATTGTTTGAGCTTAGATCCAAGGTTGCATTGCTATCCATTTGGGGGTTGAGATCCATGGTGCCAATTATGTCATCGTTTGTGTTGTTCTCCAAGGTAACAATTCATTATTTTTTGGGTTTAGATCAAATGTATAATCATTGTTTGATTTTAGGTCCAACGTGGCAATGCTATCATTGTTAGGGTTGAGATCAAGTGTCCCAATCCTATCATTGTTTGGGTTGAGCTAAGGTACAATTCTATTGCTGCAAGGTTAAGATCCAATGTGTCGAATTCCCTCACTGTTAGATCCAGACCCTGCCGTTACCTACCAAGCAAAGTGTTGTACGTTGTCGAAGATGTAGATGTACTACGCGAACATCAGGGACTGGGGAAGTCCACTGGGGAAAATGGTCATACTGAAATCAGTGATGAACGGTGTTCACGGAAATGGTAAACATATTCTTCCCCATCGGTGAAGACCGCCCTCACACAATACATTTCAACAGTTCAAAACTCGTTAACCAGTCACCTTATTTTTCACTGAAGGTGGTCACGTGTATTGTTTCCTCCGGCGTCGTCTAACGCCGTCTTTGGAAGAACCACGACCAACACCGTCCGGATACTTACAAAAGTGACGTATAAATGCAAAGATGGCTACAGTCAACTGAGCGGGGACACACAGAGGACGATGCATGGGGAGTGGTCAACTGGACGGCCAGGAACTTATCTGTGCAGGTCGGGCATCGCCTATCTTTAGAAAGCCGGGAAAGAGGGGTCGTTCACTGATAGTTTTTGTGTTTGACAGAATATATATATCTGAAAGTAGGGCGCCAAATAATTTTACTAGGAAACAAGGCTATTTTGATTTCCAAATTTGTAGAATCTCCACTGAAATCTTTTGTCATTTTCAGTAAAATGACAGCATATCACATATTTTTTATATCACGGTTTGTCAACTTCCGCTCATAGTTATTAATAACATATTCGCCCGATAATAGTCTCTTTACAGAGATCTGTTGATTCGATTTCCCACATGGGTACATATAAATAATGTGTGAAGCGAACTATATCTGGTGTAAAAACTCACTCACTCACACATAACCGGCCTATATAAGATGCTTAACTACCCCACACAACAGCGAAGAAATAAAGTCTTTCCTGATTCGTAACATTTTAGACACATCAACGTCGGTGACGCCTACTAAGTAACAACGTGGACCTGATAAGCGCGTCCAACCGACGGCGTCAAGTTTTATAGCCAGCTACATCGGCGACAACGACCTGATGAGAATCGACAGAGATGGTGAGGTTGTCCAGTGGAAGTTCTTCTCGACTACGACTGGGGAGGAGCACTGCTGCAGGTCTGGAGACCACGACCAGATGCCGGAAGAGTCGAAAGTGAGTTTGCCGTTCGTGTATACGAGGACCATTCTGTTGCATAACCATCAGACCTCGTCCAGCTTCAGGTCACTATTCCCTGTTCCCTCGGCCGCCACCGTGATGTCATGTCGAGGGCGTCTGTTTGTGGAGACTTAAAAGTTGTTTAGAGAAGTGCAGCAGCGTGTTACCTGCTATCAAAGACTGGGGAAACCTTGGAGTAGTCTTAAAATGAATCAGACATATTTTAAATGAATAAGTTATATTTCCGAAGTGAATCAGCTCTATTCCAAAATAGCTACTTATATACTACAGGTTTAAATGTTAAAACCATTGTGCTCATTACTTTGGATGTTTTTGTAATGTTTTTCAGTATTTAATTTTTAACAGGAAATCTAGCACGTAACTCATGGTTTATATTCTAGTTTACGCTCTGGAAGGGCACTTGTAAAATGTAATGGACAGGAGTTCTAGGTGAGCTGGTCAAGTAAATGTTCGTCAGATTGGTTCTAAACCGAAGTTTGTTTTGAAGCCGAAGTTTGTTATGAAGCCGAAGTTTGTTATGAAGCCGAGGGGACGTTATCCAGGGCATGTACTCTTTCTGTGCTCTATCCTTCAATTCAAACGTTGACGTATCCGCCATCTTCAAGTAGTATATGTACGTATCTCCTGGCTAGATTCGAATTCATCGGCCATAATGGCCTTTTAACCTGGTGGACAGTGAGGTGACCGGTCAGGTGGACACACTGGACGTCCCTGAGTATGAACGTATCCAGGTAGAGACGGGAGACCTGATCGGCATCTACTACTTTAACCCCCTCCCGGGATGGGTTTCTCCGAGTGCAGCAGTAGCCAGCACCCAGAGGCGTCACAGATGTCCTGGATCAACACCAAGGTGCATAAACCCTCCTTCTTTGTGAGTGGGGAGATATACGACCAGGCGGACAAAGTAGCAATGCAGCGAAAAAAAAAAGA